CAGTTCATGTTCAGTCTCTTCCCTCATCCACCACTTCCCCCTTCCCCCGAGATTGTCAGTCCACTCCCTTCCCGTATCCCCGATTCTACCCCAATCAAAAGTTAATATTATTCATCAGGTCCTCTAACCTCGTTTTTTTTTTTTTTTTTTTTTTCTCTAATTAATAAACCCCCATATTTTTAAGAATAAATTTTAAAATCCAATGACTCCAAACCTTGTTTTTTCTGCCCTGGGAACGGAGAAGCAAACTTGCCTACATGAAAACTTGCCTTTAGGCTATCAAAAGATGTAGCCATTCAAATGTAAATGGACATATTGTTTAAACATAGCTGCTGGTTGGAATTGGACCACCTGTTCTGGGTGGGAAGGGCCTGTCCTCCCCTTTCTCCATTGAAATTAAGATATCAGCTTTAAAAACCTGTCCGTGGCAAGAGGCCTCAAACTTATAGAACTTTAAATTTTTCAGGTAGCTAATTAGTATCTTCTCAAATCAACAATACCTCCACATGCCCAAGGATACACTTCACACAAAAGACACCTCCAAATAAATTGATCAACCTCATCCAGACCCTACACAAGGCACTCACAGATCAACACCCCAGTGCTACAATAACACATACAGATCTAAGCCCTCATCACTTGATTCAGCAGACCCTCAAGTTCCCCCAAAAGTTTCCAGCCATGTCTGAGAAGCAGCCCTGGGGCATGGGCAGGTGAGGAGCGAGCTGTTCCGTGCCTGGCTGATTCCGGTCTTCCAGCCTGGCCTCTGTTGCTCTGGTCTGCTCCACAATCACCTGCTCCGGGCCTGGCTGCTGCTGCTCTGGGCCTGGCTGTTCCGGGCCAGGCCACTCCAGGCCTGGCTGCTGCTGCTCCGGGCCTGGCTGCTCCCAACCCGGCTGTTCCGGGACTGTCCGCTCCGGGCCTGGCTTCTCCGGGCTTGGCTACTGCTGCTCTGGGCCTGGCTGCTCCTGACCTGGCTGCTCCGGGCCCGGCTGCTCCCAGCCTGGCCGCTCCCAGCCTGGCTGCTCCAGGCTTGGCTGCTGCTTCTCTGGGCCTGGCTGCTCCCAACCCGGCTGCTTTGGACCTGGCCACTCCGGGCCTAGCTACTCCCGGCTTGGCTGCTGCTGCCCCAGGCCTGGCTGCTCCGGGCCTGGCTGCTGCTGTTATGGTTCTGGCTGCTGCTGCTCTGGGGCCTGGCTGCTGCTGCTCTGGGCCCGACTGCCACTGCCCTGGGCCTGGCCACTCTGGGCCTTGCTGCCGCTGCTCCAACATTCTGTCTTTTTTTTTTTTTTTTTTAATGCATTTATGTTGCAATGTTGGCTGTTGAGTTTTCTGTCTTAATCTTCGATTTTTCAAGATCTTCTTTTTATTCTTTCATAAGTAATTTTACTATCTTTTGCTATAACTTGATTTCTTCACATTGAAAACTTCTCGTCCTGGACACTTAGCAGACTAACCTGTGGTGCCCCTTTGTTCTCCGCGGCCTTCTGCGCGGCTTCAGCCTGTTGCCGGGGTCAGCACCACCCAGGATGCAGCCCCTGGCCTTGGCTCTGTGGCCCGTGATCAGCGGTCGAGGGGCCAGTGGCACCTCCCCCACCAGTGGCCCTGTTGCCTGGCTCCTTGCTGGTGCCCAGGTTGCTGGTGCCGGGCAGCAGCTCCCGCTCCTCATTGCGTTCTTCCCAGACTGGAGCTTTTGTCTCCTTCCTGCTAGGGCAATCCAGCATCAGAGTCAACATTCCATCCTCTGCGCGCAATGTGTGCAACTCCAGGGGCTCTATTTTTCACTGCTCCCCTGGGATTCCACCTCTCAGCCCTGTCTCCCTCTGTTTGAGGCTGGGTCCCCAGGAACTGGCCTAGAACTGGGGTTCAGAGCAGTCGGGACTGGGGCTCAGCACAGCTGGAGCTTTTGTTTCCTTCCCACTAGGGCAATCTAGCATCAGAGTCAACATTCCGTCCTCTGCGCACAATGTGCACGACTCAGGGGGCTCTGCTTTTCGCCGCTCCCCTGGGATTCCGCCTCACAGCTTCGTTTCCCTCTGTTTGAGCCTGGGTCCCCAGGGTCTGGCCTAGAACTGGGGTTCAGTGCTGTCGGTTCTGAGGTTCAGCCCAGTCCGGTGCTTTTATTTCCTTCCTGCTAGGGAATGCCAGCAAGAAACTCAGCCTCCCCCTCCTCTCCTGCTCCGTCGTCTTCATGCGCTTGCAGCATGTCTCCGTACCTTAGGCTTTGACAGCTCCTCTGATTTTCTTTTTTGTTTTCTTTCCTTCTTGTTGTAGAATTTTCAGTCAGTCGACTTCCTGTAGCTCTGGTCAATGTCCATTTTATATTTTAGTTGTATTTTATTGAAATTGTTGTGTGCGGCTGCGGTTAGGTTTTTACCTGTGCAGCTATCTTGGATCCTCCCCCCCCCCCCAATAGTTATTTTTTAATTAATTTAATTTAATTTATTTTAAATCAGTCTTTATTGTTTATATTATTACAAAAGTTCCACATTTTTTCCCCCCCTCCACCAGGTTCCCACCCCACCCTCTGCCCTTTCCCCACCCCCCATTGTCCTCATCCAATGCACAGTTTATGTTCAGTCTCTTCCCATATCCACCATTCCCCTTTTCCCCGAAAATTGTCAGTCCACTCCCCTCCCATATCTCTGATTATACTATAATCAACAGTTAATATTGTTTATCAGGTTTTTTAATTTCCTTCGTTTTTTTTAAATTAATAAACTTTTATATTTTTAAGAATAAATTTTAAAATCTAATAATTTTAAACCTTGTTTTTTCTGCCCTGGGAACTGAGAAGCAAACTTGTTTACATGTAAACTTACCCTTGGGCTATCATACTTTGTAGCCATTCAAATGTAAATGGACACATTGTTTAAAGATAGCTGCTGGCTGGAATTGGATTACCTGTTCTGGGTGGGAAGGGCATGTCCCACCTTTTCTCCATTAAAATTAAGGTGTTAGCTTTAAAACTTTTTTGGCAAGAGACCTTAAACTTTCAGAACTTTATTTATTTATTTATTTATTTATTTATTTATTTAAAATATATTTTATTGATTTTGTACAGAGAGGAAGGGATAGAGATAGAGAGTTAGAAACATCGATGAAAGAGAGTCCTCAATCAGCTGCCTCTTGCACACCCCCCACTGGGGATATGCCCGCAACCAAGGTACATGCCCTTGACTGGAATCGAACCCGGGACCCTTCAGTCCCCAAGCCGACGCTCTATCCATTGAGCCAAACCGGTTTTGGCAAACTTTCAGAACTTTAAATTTTTCAGGTAGCAAATCAATTACTTAGCATTTTCTCAAATCAATAATACCTCCACATTCCCAAGAATACACTTCACACAAAAGACCTATCCAAATAGATCAACCAACCTCATCCAGACCCCACAGAAGGCACTCACAGATCAACACCTCATCGCTACAACAACTCAACACATCCAGATCTAAGCCTTCATCACTTGATTTAGCAGACCCTCAAGTTCCCCCAAAAGTTTCCAGCCACATCTGAGAGGCAGCCCTGGGGCATGGGCAGGCGAGGAGCAAGCTGCTCTGGATCAGGCTTCTTCGGGCCCTGCTGCTCCGGGCCTGGCCCTCTAGGCCTGGCTGCTTCAGGCCTGGTTGTCGCTGCTGTAGGCCTGGCTGCTCCCGACCTGGCTGCTCCCGATCCGGCTGCTCCGGGTCTGGATGCCCCGGGCCTGGCTGCCGCCTCACCGCGCTCAGCTGCTCTGGGCCTGGCCGCTGCTGCTCCGGGCCCGGCTGCTGCTGCTTGGGGCCTGGCTGCTCCCAAACCGGCTGCTCTGGGTCTGGATGCCCCGGGTCAGGCTGCTCAGGCTGCTGGATGCCCGCGCTCAGCTGCTCTGGGCCTGGCCGCTGCTGCTCTGGGCCTGGCTGCTGCTGCTCCAGGCTTGGCTGCTCCCAAACTGGCTGCTCCGGGGACAGCCAGTAATCTTGATTTGTTTCTAAGTCAAAAATTTTCACAGAGTTTTAGGCTTTTACCTATATTGATTAAGTTTTTTGAGTGCATGCTCTATGGTAGGCACTGTTAATTGCTTTACATAAATAGCTTTAATACAACTCAGGTATAATCCCATTTTACAAATAAAGCACAAAGAATCTCCCAGGATTGTGCAGTCTGAAATTGAACCAAGGTAGTGTGCTTTGAGAACAGTTATTAAATTGTAAATGTCCAACAACTAGAGAAAGCTTTGGTAAATACTGGTAGTCTACAAAATAGCTTATAGAAATAATTTTCAAGAAATAGAAAATTGTGTATGTAGTACAATTTCACTGTTAAAAGAATACACAGAAATGCCGAAACCGGTTTGACTCAGTGGTGGAGTGTCGGTCTGCGGACTGAAAGGTCCCAGGTTCGATTCCGGTCAAGGGCATGTATATTGGTTGCGGGCACATCCCTGGTGGGTGTTGGGAGCCGAGTCCCCTGCCGACCTGAGAATCGGGGGATGGAGCAAGGGTAGGTAGTCCTGCCTGCTCTCCCCCAGGAGTCGGGTCTCTTGGGGACGTGGCAAGCAACAGTGTCCTTCGTTCTGCTGTGTATGCATAATTGGAATCTGTAAACATGTCCTTGAAGTAACATAGCAGAGTACAGCTAGACGAATTATCCCAGGCAGCTATCTACCTGTGTAGGTCTTAAGGAACTGGTATGTAGCCATCATGCCCTGAGAGAAGGCCATTTGGAGGAATGCCCAGCTTCAGGGTACAAAAGAGTTTGCGCCTTTAATAAACTTGCTGCTGCAGTGCCATTGAGCATTCCAGCCCTCCAGAACCCCCGCTGTTCCTGTCCTTTTCTTTCTTTTCCTAAGCACCTAGCCCGATCTTCAGGACCTGCAGTACCGACTGGATCCGGTAGGTGGGGGGTGTGCAAGAGGCAGCTGGTAGATGTTTCTCTTTCATCGATGTTTCTAGCTCTCTATCTCCCTTCCTCTCTGTAAAAAATCAATAAAGCTCTTTTTCGCTCAGGCCCGTGGCGCCGGCAGGATGGGCAAGTGTCGCGGTCTCCGTACTGCCCGGAAGCTCCGCAGCCACCGGCGGGATCAGAAGTGGCATGACAAGCAGTACAAGAAGGCCCATTTGGGCACGGCCCTGAAGGCCAACCCTTTCGGAGGCGCCTCCCATGCAAAGGGGATCGTGCTGGAAAAAGTAGGGGTTGAAGCCAAACAGCCAAATTCCGCTATCAGGAAGTGTGTCAGGGTCCAGCTGATCAAAAACGGCAAAAAAATCACAGCCTTTGTACCCAATGATGGTTGTTTGAATTTCATTGAGGAAAATGACGAGGTTCTGGTTGCTGGATTTGGTCGCAAAGGTCATGCTGTTGGTGACATTCCTGGAGTTCGCTTTAAGGTTGTCAAAGTAGCCAATGTGTCTCTCTTGGCCTTGTACAAAGGCAAGAAGGAAAGACCAAGATCCTAAGTTTTGATGGTGAAATCACAGTAATAAATTTTCATATGCCTAAAAAAAATAAAAAAAAATAAAAAAAATAAAATAAAAAATCAATAAAATATATTTAAAAAAAAAAAAAAGAATACACAGAAACCCTACTGGTGTGATAGTGGTGATTGCCTTGAAGTATAAAATTACTGGTGATTTGTTTTCAGTCAGGTGAGATTTATTTAGGAGTATGGTATGCAGTGACTATAAAATAAGACTGTCCCGAATACCAATATTGCTAATTAGGCTTCTGCTCGTCTGCCAAAAGCGCTTAGGTTGCACTATTAGCAAGTATGTTCTTAGCGTTGCTATGATTTCCTTTCACTGGTTTTCACCCTTGGATATTTTATGTGATCCTGTACAAAACAAATCTAATGTATTTTCCATAAGAAAAAAGCTAAGTATCTAGGCTCGAGGGCTCTCATGTTCTCCCATAATCTTATTTCAGGCTGATTATTTCAACTGTTCCTCATAAGACATGCTTTAGAGCAAGCATGTCAAACTTGCAGCCCGCAGGCCGCATGTGGCCCACAACAAATATTTTTAAATATATATATATATTATTGATTTTTTACAGAGAGGAAGAGAGAGGGATAGAGAGTTAGAAACATCGATGAGAGAGAATCATCGATCAGCTGCCTCTTGCACACCCCCCACTAGGGATGTGCCCGCAACCAAGGTACATGCCCTTGACCAGAATCGAACCTGGGACCTTCTTCTTCTTCTCCTCCTTCTCCTCCTTCTCCTCCCTCTCCTCCCTCTCCTCCCTCTCCTCCCTCTCCTCCCCCTCCTCCCCCTCCTCCCCCTCCTCTCCCTCCTCCCCCTCCTCCTCCTTCTTCTTCTTCTTCTTCTTCTTCTTCTTCTTTTTTTTTTTGGCAGATGAACCAAGCACTTTATTTAATTGTAACAAGCATACACTCATTGCTACTTAAAACATTCAGGTCTGTGCCGAAAATGCTCCCTCTGTGGCTTCCAGAACCTTGTTTTCCCTTCACCTTTCCCACTCCACCCTGGAGCTGGCGCCTTGGAAATCCTGTGCAGTGCAGGAAGCTCCAGGAGACTCTCCGGTCATGGTTCTCATCCTGCGGTGCGGAGCGGCCTCCCTGCGGCCACGGCCCCAGCGGACCCGGCCGCCCTCGCCCGCCGGCCGCAGGCGCCCGCGGGGACTCGGCGCCGGACTCAGCACCGGGGACCAGGGCTGCACGTGGCGGCCGCGGCCTACGGGACACCGAGGCCGCCCGGGCCGCCCCGCCCGCAGGCTGCCGCCCCGACCTCGGCCGCATTCCGACCTGGCCACCGCGTCCCTCCGGATCACCGCCTTGGCGCCTTCCCGAGGACGGCTCACAGACGCCGCCGGATGGGAAAGCGAACCTGGGACCTTTCTGTTTGCAGGCCAATGCTCTATCCACTGAGCCAAACCAGTTCCGGCCACAACAAATGTTTTTGCGACCCAGCGAGTATAACAGTATGAAATGTTTTAATAAAAATGTTGTAACTTAATTTTTACAATATTCTGTTATACATATTATTAATAATGAACTGTGTTTGCTAATGACTGGTTACTGTAATTTTGTTGCATTCATTTCCCTTACATGCCTTCCACGGAGGTGCACCATTTCTCTCCACTAATACTAGCAGTGAATATTTTAGCAGTCAATTGCCATGTCATTAGTCTTGGGCTGACTTGTTTGGTATGTGCAACAGGAAATATATCGATTTTGGAGAACAAGAAAAATAGGTTTATTTGCATTGCACTTATTTATTTATTTTAAAAAATTTCTTTATTAAGGTATCACATATTTGTCCTCAACTCCCATTCCAATCCTCCACTCCTCCACTCATGTGCCCATCCCCTTATTGTCCTCGACCAAAGGTGCATTGCACTTATTTTAAAAAAATATGTATTGTATTGATTTTTTTACAGAGAGGAAGGGAGAGGGATAGAGAGTTAGAAACAATGATGAGCCGAAACCGGTTTGGCTCAGTGGATAGAGTGTAGGCCTGTGGACTGAAAGGTCCCAGGTTCAATTCCGGTAAAGGGCATGTACCTTGGTTGTGGGCACATCCCCAGTAGGGGGTGTGCAAGAGGCAGCTGATGGATGATTCTCTCCCATCAATGTTTCTAACTCTCTATCCCTCTCTCTTTCTCTCTGTTAAAAATCAATAAAATATATTTTTTTATTTTTTTATTTTATTTTATTTTTTTTAAATTATTGTTAATCATTTTTTTAAATATATATTTTATTGATTTTTGTACAGAGTGGAAGGAAGAGAGATAGAGAGTTTGAAACATCAATGAGAGAGAGTCATCGATCAGTTGCCTCTTGCACACCCCCTACTGGGGATATGCCCGCAACCAAGGTACATGCCCTTGACCGGAATCGAACCCGGGGCCCTTCAGTCCCCAAGCCGACGCTCTATCCATTGAGCCAAACCGGTCCCGGCTAAAATATATTTTTTTTAAAAAGAAAAAGAAACACTGATGAGATGATGAGAGAAACATTGATCAGCTGCCTCCTGCACACTCCCTACCGGGTATGTGGTTGCAACCAAGGCACGTGCCCTTGACCAGAATTGAATTCTGGACCCTTGAGTCCACAGGCTGACACTCTATCCACTGAGTCAAACCAGTCAGGGCATGTTGCACTTAGTAATTTGTGTAGTTATTCAGTATTTGGTAAGTTAATGTTCAAAAAAAAAATTAATTTTCATTAAAATATTCTATTTTATGTTAACAATTACTCTTTTATTTCAGCTCTTTGTATTCAGCAGGTTTCCATTGAAATAAACCTACATTTGTATGAAATTTGAAGCTTTTGTTTTTTTTGCAGCCTACATAAATTTAAACCTTGTTTATTTGGCCCAAGTTAGTTTTTGAGTTTGACATTTTTGATTTAGAGCCATGTTTAGTGGTCTCTGAATTGACTCCACTGTTTGGATCCTGAGAGTGCCTGACAACATTTCACAGGACAAGCATGTAGTAAAACTTGTTGAATGAATAAATGAGCAAATTTGGTAATGATTTGAATTTGGTTGGGCATTAGTACTTTACTTTTTTTATGGGCCCTCTTTCACCATTACAGAAAGTCCAGAGATCCTGGCCTTTGACAGCTACCTCCATGGACAGCTGTCTGCTTTGCACAACCTCTGCCTAGGAAATAGTTCTTGTAGAAAATTATCTTTGATAATCGGTGCCTTAGAGATCTGGGCTTTTGGGTAAGTAGAGCAGAGCCTTTCCAGTGTTATGATGAAGGGTGCAACAATGAGTATTTCCTCAATATCCACATGAGTTGAAAAAGGAAGAGAAGGCTGAGCTACTAGATATTTCTCAAGGGTTGTCTAGAAAATTAAAGGTTCAGTGTGTTGATAGTACAAGTTAGGACTGACTTTCTTTTTTAATTAAAAATCTTTTTGTTAAATTCAGCCTATTATGTATGTCAGAGGTGACACTCCCTTGAGCTGATTTGATTTGCAAACAAATGCTGGATCTCCGGCATGAACTGAGGACCTGTAGAGCCATGATGCCTTTCCCACTTCATCACCGACCCCAGGCCACCTCCCCCCACCCTCCCGTCCCCACCCAGGTGTTCCTGTTAGCCTCCTTATCCCCTGGACAGTATTCTCGTGGCCTTAAAATAGTAACACAATAGCATTAACAAAAAAGAAGGGGAGAAGTGAATTTCCATTGACAGATAACCTGAGTTGCTGAGGTCTGGAAGGAAGGAAGAAAAGAGAGGCTATTGTTATGAAAAAAATGCCACATTTCTGCTTGGGATCTCAACTTCATAATACAGGATCCCACTGGTCTTTCTGAACCCATTTTAGGACAGGAAAAATGAATTCCCGAGGCTGCCTTTGTAACTTATTACTGTGGGCAATCCAGGTTTCAGAATAGGACCACTGAGGGTGGGTTTATGGTTTTAGATGTTGCAATTTTGTTTAATGAAGCTGTAAGAGTATAAGTACTGGTAGCCTTATGCACATTATAAACACAATAATAATTATGCTGAATGTGTGACCAGCTCTCCCTGTATAGACTTGCTGAGCTTCTTTTTAAAAAAAAATATATTTTATTGATTTTGTACAGAGAGGAAGGGAGAGAGATAGAGAGCTAGAAACATCGATGAGAGAGTCATCGATCAGCTGCTTCTTGCACACCCCCTACTGGGGATATGCCTGCAACCAAGGTACATGCCCTTGACCGGAATCAAACCCAGGTCCCTTCAGTCCCCAAACCGACGCTCTACCCATTGAGCCAAACCGGTTTTGGCAGACTTGCTGAGCTTCTATTGCCAAGCATCAAGCATTGACTACAGGGGCTAGAAAAATCAGTAAGACTTTCAGGGAACTGGATATGTAGGTTACTAAAACTAACAGTTGCCCATGAAAAATAATTCATTAATGCTAAAGGAAGTTTTATTTCCTAAATAATAAAAAGAATATGTTAGTTTGCCTTTGGTGGGAGTGGTGGTAGGGGGTATTAATTGAGGAAAAAATGAGACATGTAATACTTTAAACAAATTTTTAAAAAGCATATTAAAGGACTGGTTGACAGAGTGATAAGCATACATGACAACACAGACAAATCAATAAAAGCCCAAAATAAGGAATGGAACCTGTTTTTTTTTGTTTTTTTTTGGCAATCTAGATAGTTTAAGTTCATAGACTGAGTCTGGTGTACTTTGTTTTCTCTTCACATATACACAAATCCCATTTTATGATGACACATGCATCTGTTCATCCTTCTATGCTAATTAACTCCTGTTACCATTCATGAAGATTAAGTGTGGACACATCTAGCATAATAGTCAGTCATCAGAACAAAAAAAGGTTTGTGAAAATAATTCATATTTGGAACTTTTTTTGGGAGATTTTTTGATAGGTGATCTCCTTAAACACAATTTCTTTTAAAGTTTTCTACATGGTTGGGAGTCTTCATTACCTGATTCCTGAGTTTTCTAGCTTCTTTGTTACCAAGGGAG